CCCCGCGCTTCCGCCTCGTGCCGCCCCGCCCCGGGCCACCGCCCGCCCCCGAGCCCAGGGCTCGCCGACCCCCGCGGGGCATCCGCTGGTGCAGGGACGCTGTCCTCTCGCAGGCTGCGCTCGGCGCCCCGTGGGTCGGCATCGCTAGCCAGACGCGGCTCTTCCCTCCGGGAGGGCTGGGCGTTGGCGGACTTCCCGGAGTCCTCCTCTCTCTGCGTCCTGCGTGCCCTGGGGATGGGGCTCGGGGTGGCTGCTCTGCGGCCAGCGCGCTCACCTAACCCGGAACCCATGGCGCGCCCCCGAGTGTGACTCCGACGTCTGATTTCCGCTGGAAGCCAGCTTCGTCGGGGACCGTCCTGTCTTGGACCGTGCGTGATCTGCAGGAATTTCCGTATCTCGGGTGGTGGAACCCAGGACTGCACTTGCTAGGCAAGTGCCCCGCCTTATCATGATTCTAAAGGGCTGGTGTGTGCGTGCGCGTGTGGTTTTCGGGTTGGATTTTTAACGTTTTTATGTTGCCTGTGCTGGTCCCCAATTCCTGGATCAAGCAATTTTCCCGACGCTGATTCCTTGAGCAGCTGAGATTTGGTGTAGCACCACAGGCAGCTTAACTGTGTGTGTGTGTGTGTGTGTGTGTGTGTGTGACTTTTACCATCTTGGTTCTTTTTAATGATGTATTTTTTATGTGTCTGTGTATTTTGTTTGCTTGTACGTGCTCTGGGAACAGGCAGTGCCTGCAGGGAGCAGAAGAGGGCGCTGGATCCTCTGTAGCTGGAGGTACAGACTGTTACACGCCAGCCTGTGAGTGCTGGGGACTGAACCCCAGTCCTCTGCAAAGACAGCTGGTGCCCTTAGCCACCGAGCCATCTCTCCTGCCCTCGAGATGTTTTTAATAAGGAAATATTCTGAGTTAGTCGACAAGTAATTGTATTACATTCCTTCTGTGTGCGTATCTGGGTGTGTATATGCATGTGTGGGTCGGAGGACAACTTGTAGGCTCTGGTCAGTTCTCTCCTTCAGCTTGTGGTGCCCAGGCGTTGGACTAAGCGTGCCAGGCCTGCTGAGCCATCTTGCCAGCCCCGCATTGCTCGCTTTTAGATAGCAAATGAAATATATACATTCTAGACACACGTTTAGCCTCTACGTGTGAGAAGCGTGGGTTTCTGAGGATGCGGTGGGGTCAGCTGAGTCCCCGTGCTGGTTCACCTCTGTCGCTTTCCCAGGAGCGATGAGTAAAAAGCATCCTGGGTTTGCTTTGCTTTCCTTCTCTCTGTATCTCTCCCCTCCCTCGTGGTGGCCTGGATATGAAAGGGAAATACGGATTATTTGTGTCTGCCGAACACACCCCGTCCCACACATGCTAGCCACTCTACTGCTGAGCCGCATCTCCTGCTTCCTGCTTAAAATTTAAATCAAGGGTGGATCCAGCTGTGTCAGCCGAGGCTTCAGCACACCAAGCTCCAAGCCAGCCTGGACGGCAGCGAGACCTGTTCTCAAAGAGTAAACGAATAGAGGGGTGAGTGTGTGTGCGTGCGTGCGTGCGTGTGTGTGTGTGTGTGTGTGTGCATGCGCGCGCGTGTGTTCATGTGTGCGTGTGTTCATGTGTGTGTGTGCGTGTGTGTGAATAGGTGGGTTTTATTTCTATTCCCTCCACTAGGTTTCTTTTTCTTACATTTATGTGTGCGTGCACAGTGCGCACGCGTGAGCAGAGCATGCATGCTGTGGTGTAAGTGTGGAGGTCACAGAACAACCTTCAGGACTTGGTTCTCCTACACCCTGTGGGTCCAGGAGATCAAAACCAAGTTGTCAGGCTGGGTAGCCAGCCTCCTGGGCTCTGAGCCACCACCCCCTCTTCCTCCTCTTCCCCCTCTTCCTCCTCTTCTTCCTCCTCCTTCCCCTCTTCCTCCTCTTCCCCCTCTTTCCCCTCTTCTTCCCCCTTTCCCCCTCTTCCTTCTCTTCCTCCTCCTCCTCCCCTTCCCCTCTTTCCCCTCTTCCTCCTCCTCCTCCCCCTCCTCCCCCTCTTTCCCCTCTTCCTCCTCCTCCTCCCCCTGTCCCCCTCTTCCCCCTCCTTCCCCTCTCTCCTCCAAGGAGACAGGGAGTCACTGTGTGGCCCAAGCTAACCCTGAACTTGCAATCAGCCCTCTTCTCTCAATCTCAAGAATGCGGGGATTTCAGATGGCTCATTTCTTTTTCTTTTCAAGACAGGGTTTCTCTGTATAGCCCTGGCTGTCCTGGGCTTGCTTTGTAGCCCAGGCTAGCCTTGAACTCAGAGATCTGCCTGCCTCTGCCTTCCAGAGTGCTGGGATCACAGGTGTGAGCCACTTATTTTCCTTTTTGTTTGTTTGTTGTTTGTTTGTTTGTTTGTTTTGGAGTTTCTCTGTGTAGCCCTGGCTGTCCTGGATTCACTCTGTAGACCAGGCTGGCCTGAAACTCAAAGATCCTCCTGCCTGTACCTCCTGAGTGTGGGATTACAGGTGTGTGCCATCACCGCCTGACTTCAAACAGGGCATCTTAGGCAGGCATGCTGGTCCATACTTGTGACACCGGGTACGAGACAGGGTGTCAGAAGTTCAAGATCACCCTGACTGTAGTGAGCTGGTGGCCAGCTTAAGCTAAGTGAAACCCTGGCTCAAAACAAAACAAACTTTGGGCTTCCTGTGGGGCACAAGCCTGAAGTCTCAGCAGGCTGGGCAAGAGGGTGGCTGAGAGACGGAGAACTGAAAGACTTGTGCAGAATCGATGTGCCCCACCAAGTCAGAACTGCTTTCCCTGCAGCAGGGCTACGTTTTGCTGTGGTGGGCACCTGAGTTCGTGCTAGGCGGGCACACGCCCTGTCTCCAGGAGGAAGATGACACTTCCCTGGGCTGGACGCAGGCCGGAGAACAAGCATGCTCTGGAAAGATGCTGCTCCGTTCACATCCACCTTCCCTCACCGAGGGGCTCCTTAGCCAAATGCTGGCATCCCCACAGGAAGAGGGGAAGTGAGGCCCCACTCAGTTCTTCAGATTGATCTCGGTTCTCCTTGCTCAGTCGGGCCCGGGAGGGCGGGTACTGGGAGACACAGCCCGGGAGCTCAGCCAGGGTGCAGTGACTTCCCTCCAGGACGTGACCCTGCCACTCACTTCCTCCACGTGTGAGCAGGGGCACCTTTGTCTGCCTCGGGCAAAACCGTGGTTCGAGTAGAGGCACAAAGGGGGTTAGAGGAAGCCGTGCCACCAGAGGGAACCGAGAGACCCCGTGTGAGTGACGGAAGGACAGCAGCCCAAGAAGAGCTAACCACACTCCCGCCACGGTGAGGCCTGGGTGTGCCGGCGGCCTCTGCCGTTTTCTCTGGCCTGCAGGGTCTCTGGGCCGACCAGTGCGTCAGACACACCACATTTCTGAGAGCTTGTGAGCTCACATCAGGCTGTGCGTCTAATGGGCGGTCAAATCCCAGGCCTGTGGACATGACACACCTCCTCTGCTGCGGCCCCTTTCCGTGACGTGAGAAGGTCCCATCACGCCACAGATGGAGCGTGGCAGAGGACCCCGAACCTTGCGCCTGCCAGGACAGAGTGGAACCAAATCTGATCGTCTGAATTGGCTGTCCTGGGGCTTTCAGTGGGCAGGTGACAACCAGGCCCCGCCCCTGCCGGGCAGCTCAAATGGCTGGAGCTTTCAGGGGCACAGCGGGGCAGCTTGGGGTCCTGGAGCACTTGGCGCTGAGACCCAGCCGCTCTGGAACCTTGGAACCTTTCAGTAGTCTGTGCAGTGGATGCTGCAGTCAGAACTTCCTGTTTCTTGCTGACTCTACCTCCGAGGAGCCCTCTGAAGTATGATTTGGAAGTCCCCCATTCAGCCAGCACTGTCACATGGGCCCTTAGGTCTCAGGACCTCACCTTCGCCAGCCCACACTCAGTCTCTCTTCTCCACAGCTGGGGGTGGGGGGGGCGCTAGCAAGCCATGCCAACACCCGCTCCCATCCCAGGCGCTGTCTCTCACTACAAAAGCTACTTCCCTTTCCCTTGCTGGTCCCCTCTTCTCTCCCTGAGTCTTGAGTGGACTCTGTTTTACTTTGCCTCTTAGGCTGGGCCTTGGGCTTGCCGGTTCAAGCTGGAGCCTTCAGGAATGCCCCAACGTTTCCTGGCCTCTTGTACCTTCCTATCTGAACTCCCCCGTCCAGGGCTGTCCCTAGGCCCAGGCCCGCTCCTCTCATTATCCCCTTTAACCAGCCGCGGCGACCATGCCTCACTTCCCTGTGGGAGTCCTCTTACCGCCCTTGCGCCCAGACTCCACCCTCCCACACTCCCTGGTCTTCGAATCTGCTAAGCTCAGCATAAGCATTGCTCCACACAACTTCCCTCTGCTAGGCTGGACCCTGTTGAGGGGCCAGGGCCTCTCTGTGGCCTGTGGGGTGGCTCATGAGGCAGGCAAGAGGGAAAAGGAGGAAGTCTGGCTGTCAACTTTGTCCTTTGGGACTCCTGCAGTGTTCAAGGTCCTCACAGGAACCAGCTGAGGATGTTGCTAAGT